GAGGATCACAGATGTCTGGTAGTGTTTAAAATTTAATGTTTTTTTCTTAGAAATCTAAATCATTTAAAATTTGGAGCGTATGTAAATAAAAAATAGATGAATCTACGAAAAATATCAAAAAAATATTTTATATGAATTAAATTGACCAAAATACCCCCAAAACTTTTCAGAGAACAATTTGTTTTCACAAATTATCTTTTTTATATTTTTATAAGGTGCGGTTTGATGAAAAGAACACACGCCCAAAAATTTTAGTGATTTAGATGTTTAGAAAAAAAATTAAAATTCAAACACTGCTGGACATCCGTGATCGTCAGATCGGCCCAGATTCAAACTGGACCGTTGGGCTCACTTTTTCCTGTGAGCTAATGGGTTCACCCACGATTTAACGCCTATAGGTGAAAATGAATAGTGATTTCGCCGACCCCCTCATCACGGTCCAAAGTTCATTGCACGATCACGATCGTCTGGTAGTGTTTTATTTTCCATTTTTTTTTTATAAATCAGAATGACTTGAAATTCCGAGCTTGTGTTCATAAATAATAGGCGAATCTACGAAAAATATCAAAAAAATATTTTACACGAAAACAATTGACCAAAATACGCCCGAAACATTTCAAGGGTATTTTGGCCATTTTTTGAATTTTTTTGTTTATATTTTTATTAAGTATGCCTCACTAAGATGTTCACATGTTTCAAATTTCAGTTTATTTTGATTTGTAGAAAAAAAATGAAAAATAAAACACTACCAGATAATCGTGACCATGCAATGAACTTTGGACGATGATGAGGGTAGACGAAATCACCGTTCATTTTCGCGTATAGGTGTTGGGAAGACTTTTCCTATATATATATATATATATATATATGGGAGTCCATGCTGTATGCCCATACGCGAATGGCCCAGATTCAATCTGGGCCATTATGTGACCCATCTGACGCTCACGGATGTCTGATAGTGTTTGAATTTTAATTTTTTTTTCTACAAAACTAAATCACTTGAAATTTTAGATATGTGTTCTTCAAAATAGGCGAATCTACAAAAAATATAAAAAAAATTTTACATGAAATAAATTGATCAAAATACCCCCAAAAATTTTTGGGGGTATTTTAATCAATTTAGTTTTCTCATATTATTATTTTAGATGTTTATTAGGTACGACTTGATGAGAAGGACACACACCTAAAATTTCATATTATTTATATTTGTAGAAAGAAATTAAAATTCAAACACTATCGGACATTCGTGAGCGTCAGATCGACCCAGATTCAATCTGGGCCGTAGGCGTTTACTGTAGCAGTACGCACCTGGGCGCACATCATCTTTTCCACACACACACATATATATATATATATATATATATATATATATAATAATA